GAAGAAGGTACATTGGGTTGAGGGAATACATAATATCGGCGTTCTTACATTCTTATGATTGTCAAAATAGTTGAATTAAAATCCAAATTGTTAATCAACAAAGATTAAACAAATTAATCAATTAAGATGAGTAATTTATAAATTAAGAATGTAATACCAAGCTATCATACGGTAATAATACAAATTGGAAAACTGAAATATAAAGATCAAAGTGTAGAGTAGAGGAAGACAGCTAAATGTTGAGCGGGAAACGGTCAATATAACACGAATTCTCTTGATACTTCCACGAGTGGTTACCTTTACTTGTACTCAATATGACAACCGACTTGAGAATGGTCCAGGACGGACCGAAACGTCGTCGTCCCTTCACCTTCTAGTGTGTGATCTGGTCAACATATTTCAGCCAAGTTATTGTGACTCTTCGCCTGCTTTAATGTACTTGAGGTTATCTTGAGATGATTTCGGGGCTTTTTTTTTTTTAGTGTCCCCGCGGCCCGGTCCTCGACCAGGCCTCCACCCCCAGGAAGGAGCCCGTGACAGCTGACTAACACCCAGGTACCTATTTTACTGCTAGGTAACAGAGGCATAGGGTGAAAGAAACCCTGCCCATTGTTTCTCGCGGCGCCTGGGATCGAACCCAGGACCACAGGATCACAAGTACAGCGTGCTGTCCGCTCGGCCGACCGGCTCCTCTTCGTAGACGTTTAAAACCCAGATTGTCGTGTACTGTAGCTGAGTTGTAGCCACGTTGACACAGTACTCTCAACCATTACACACACAAATCACAATAGCGTGATGCATCAAATGAACAAATCCACAAGGGCCGTGACGAGGGTTCAAACTTACGTCCGAGAGGATCCCGAATGCACCTAAATCGATTGAGCTCCGACATGGAAAAGAAATGCAACCGGGAAATCAACTTCTCAACCATATTCCCAGGGAAGGTCATGACGGAATATAAGAGCTTTTGTTGCTCAACTTCTTGCTAGATAGTTTGTTTACTTATTTATTTATTTATTGATTTTTATGCAAGAAATGATAATAGGTTATGAAAGAAGATATTTGGTGATTCATTTGTTTTTTGCTGGTCTTGTTGGATTTCAGACGTAAGATTTCAGTAGTTTAGTTCATTAATTTTGCACCCCATACCCATCCTGTGGGCGGTAGTGCACCCCATACCCATCCTGTGGGCGGTAGTGCACCCCATACCCATCCTGTGGGCGGTAGTGCACCCCATACCCATCCTGTGGGCGGTAGTGCACCCCATACCCATCCTGTGGGCGGTAGTGGACCCCATACCCATCCTGTGGGCGGTAGTGGCCCCCATACCCATCCTGTGAGGGGTAGTGGACCCCATACCCATCCTGTGGGCGGTAGTGGACCCCATACCCATCCTGTGGGCGGTAGTGGACCCCATACCACTCCTGTGGGCGGTAGTGGACCCCATACCCATCCTGTGGGCGGTAGTGGACCCCATACCCATCCCGTGGGCGGTAGTGGGCACCATACCCATCCTGTGGGCGGTAGTGGACCCCATACCCATCCTGTGGGCGGTAGTGGCCCCCATACCCATCCTGTGAGGGGTAGTGGACCCCATACCCATCCTGTGGGCGGTAGTGGACCCCATACCCATCCTGTGGGCGGTAGTGGCCCCCATACCCATCCTGTGAGGGGTAGTGGACCCCATACCCATCCTGTGGGCGGTAGTGGACCCCATACCCATCCTGTGGGCGGTAGTGGACCCCATACCACTCCTGTGGGCGGTAGTGGCCCCCATACCCATCCTGTGAGGGGTAGTGGACCCCATACCCATCCTGTGGGCGGTAGTGGACCCCATACCCATCCCGTGGGCGGTAGTGGGCACCATACCCATCCTGTGGGCGGTAGTGGACCCCATACCCATCCTGTGGGCGGTAGTGGCCCCCATACCCATCCTGTGAGGGGTAGTGGACCCCATACCCATCCTGTGGGCGGTAGTGGACCCCATACCCATCCTGTGGGCGGTAGTGGCCCCCATACCCATCCCGTGGGCGGTAGTGGGCACCATACCCATCCTGTGGGCGGTAGTGGACCCCATACCCATCCTGTGGGCGGTAGTGGCCCCCATACCCATCCTGTGAGGGGTAGTGGACCCCATACCCATCCTGTGGGCGGTAGTGGACCCCATACCCATCCTGTGGGCGGTAGTGGCCCCCATACCCATCCTGTGAGGGGTAGTGGACCCCATACCCATCCTGTGGGCGGTAGTGGACCCCATACCCATCCTGTGGGCGGTAGTGGACCCCATACCACTCCTGTGGGCGGTAGTGGACCCCATACCCATCCTGTGGGCGGTAGTAGCCCCCATACCCATCCTGTGAGGGGTAGTGGACCCCATACCCATCCTGTGGGCGGTAGTGGACCCCATACCCATCCTGTGGGCGGTAGTGGCCCCCATACCCATCCTGTGAGGGGTAGTGGACCCCATACCCATCCTGTGGGCGGTAGTGGACCCCATATCCATCCTGTGGGCGGTAGTGGACCCCATACCACTCCTGTGGGCGGTAGTGGACCCCATACCCATCCTGTGGGCGGTAGTGGACCCCATACCCATCCCGTGGGCGGTAGTGGGCACGATACCCATCCCGTGGGGGGTAGTGGACACCATACCCATCCCGTGGGCGGTAGTGGACCCCATACCACTCCTGTGGGGGGTAGTGGACCCCATTCCACTCCTGTGGGCGGTAGTGGACCCCATACCACTCCTGTGGGCGGTAGTGGACCCCATACCCATCCCGTGGGCGGTAGTGGACACCATACCCATCCTGTGGGCGGTAGTGGACCCCATACCCATCCCGTGGGCGGTAGTGGACACCATACCCATCCTGTGGGTGGTAGTGGACACCATACCCATCCCGTGGGCGGTAGTGGACCCCATACCCATCCTGTGGGTGGTAGTGGACACCATACCCATCCTGTGGGCGGTAGTGGACACCATACCCATCCTGTGGGCGGTAGTGGACACCATACCCATCCTGTGGGTGGTAGTGGACACCATACCCATCCTGTGGGTGGTAGTGGACACCATACCCATCCTGTGGGCGGTAGTGGACACCATACCCATCCTGTGGGCGGTAGTGGACACCATACCCATCCTGTGGGCGGTAGTGGACACCATACCCATCCTGTGGGCGGTAGTGGACACCATACCCATCCTGTGGGCGGTAGTGGACACCATAACCATCCTGTGGGTGGTAGTGGACACCATACCCATCCCGTGGGCGGTAGTGGACACCATACCCATCCTGTGGGCGGTAGTGGACCCCATACCCATCCCGTGGGGGGTAGTGGACACCATACCCATCCTGTGGGCGGTAGTGGACACCAAACCCATCCCGTGGGCGGTAGTGGACACCATACCCATCCCGTGGGCGGTAGCGGGGACCATACCCATCTTGTAGTGGTTGTGAACCCCTTACCTATCCTGTGAGTGGTGGTGGAACCCATACCCATTATGTAAATGGTATTGGACACGATACCCCTCCTTAGAGTGGTATTCGTGAAGATTACACAAGTAATACATAGGCTCAGGAACTGTATCCTAATATAATGAATCCTAATTATACACTAGTAGTGTACATTCTTGGTGTACTAGTTACAGGCTGTAATGGTTCAATGTATTATAAAGTGTAGTGATTAATTGATTGTTTCAAGCGTAGGCTAGACATATATATGGATGAGTTTGAGCGGATATAAATAGGAGCTGCCACATATCGGCCAATAGGCCCTTTGAAATTTGGTCAAGCGTCATGTTGGTAATTATATCACTGTTGGTAAGTTGTGGTACACGGCCATGGGATGAGGCAAGGAAACTATCAGGAGAAAGCACCAAGTTGTTACTGTTGTTTTAGAGTTAGGTACTCAAGTAGTTCCAAGTAGCACGGGCTATGGTGATCCCGTTGTGGACTTACCTGTCGCAGGAGCGGGGCAAGTAGCACGGACTATGGTGAGCCCGTTGTGGACTTACCTGGCGCAGGAGCGGGGCAAGTAGCACGGGCTATGGTGAGCCCGTTGTGGACTTACCTGGCGCAGGAGCGGGGCAAGTAGCACGGGCTATGGTGAGCCCGTAGTGGACTTACCTGGCGCAGGAGCGGGGCAAGTAGCACGGGCTATGGTGAGCCCGTAGTGGACTTGCCTGGCGCAGGAGCGGGGCTGTGACTGATGTACTGGGCCAAGCCATTACGACTATACAGCACCTGGAAGGGTTCAAGATAAGTGTTTCGGATGGGACGGAGGGAAGGAATGTTGCCCAACTACTTGGACGGTCGGGGATTGAACGCCGACCTGCATGAAGCGAGACTGTTGTTCTAGCGTCCAGCCTAAGTGACTTACATACAGTACAAGCTTACAGTGTGTGTACTACCTACAACAGATACATTGGGATACCTGGCTATGATGTTCAGCAACATGTCGTGCCATATTAAGCCCGTGGATACTTCTTGAACATTTGTGTATACACACACAAATCACAATAGCATGGTATATCAAATGATTAACGCGCGTCTGGGATCATCCTCTACTAGAGTTCGAACCCTCATCACGACCCTTGTGAATTTATTCATTCGTGAGATGAATAAATGTGAAGAGTTATGCAGGAAGTGTTTAGATGTGGTGAGATGTGCTGCAAGAGATGATGGCATCTCACCCCCACAGTCGCTGTGGTCAGAGACGCGCGATGTGTTTCAAGTCTTTCCTCTCAAGTCCAGACATCTTCGTCTGTTATTTTCTCACTATAGCACAATAGTGAGCCCGTAGAATAGACCCAGCATAGATGCAGGAATCTGAGTTTAAAATTCAAGTTTCTATAATTTATAGTTATAGAGGAAGTTTCTCGCAACTACAAGCGATCACACATTGTCCTTAACTAAACTTATCTCAGTAAATCAGGTCAAACACGTGGAGTTCCTTGGTGCAGACGAGGTCTTGCACCACGGACGGTAACCTCGCGTCTCCCCCACGCTGGCTGGGGTTATATAGCCTAGTGACTCCACCTGACCATCATTCCTACTTATACAGTAAACCTTGACACTCAGTCGGAACACTTTTCAGTAAAGATGGCGAGTGATAAACAGGGCAACAAGTCCAAGTTGATGCAGGGGCTTGTGTTAGTGGGACTGTTTGTGCCGTGTATTGTGGTGGTGGTGGTGGTGCAGCCCTTCCACCAGCCCGGCCTGGGGCTGGTGGCCCTCAGTGTACTCCTCTACTTCCTCGTGATCGTCGCCTGGGTCATTGTCAGGAGCTGTGTGGGAAGATGCAGAGTGGAGAGTGACCTGGAACGACAGGTAAGCCAGGGAACACCACACTAACCACAGGGAACACCACACTAACCCCAGGGAACACCACACTAACCCCAGGGAACACCACACTAACCCCAGGGAACACCACACTAACCCCAGGGAACACTAAGAGAACACCACACTAACCCCAGGGAACACTAAGAGAACACAACACTAACCCCAGGGAACACTAAGTGAACACCACACTAACCCCAGGGAACACTAAGTGAACACCACACTAACCCCAGGGAACACCACACTAACCCCAGGGAACACTGAGTGAACACCACACTAACCCCAGGGAACACTAAGTGAACACCACACTAACCCCAGGGAACACGACACTAACCCCAGGGAACACTAAGAGAACACCACACTAACCCCAGGGAACACCACACTAACCCCAGGGAACACCACACTAACCCCAGGGAACACCACACTAACCCCAGGGAACACTAAGTGAACACCACACTAACCCCAGGGAACACTGAGTGAACACCACACTAACCCCAGGGAACACTAAGTGAACACCACACTAACCCCAGGGAACACCACACTAACCCCAGGGAACACCACACTAACCCCAGGGAACACCACACTAACCCCAGGGAACACTGAGTGAACACCACACTAACCCCAGGGAACACTAAGTGAACACCACACTAACCCCAGGGAACACTAAGTGAACACCACACTAACCCCAGGGAACACTGAGTGAACACCACACTAACCCCAGGGAACACTAAGTGAACACCACACTAACCCCAGGGAACACTGAGTGAACACCACACTAACCCCAGGGAACACTAAGTGAACACCACACTAACCCCAGGGAACACTGAGTGAACACCACACTAACCCCAGGGAACACTGAGTGAACACCACACTAACCCCAGGGAACACTAAGTGAACACCACACTAACCCCAGGGAACACTAAGTGAACACCACACTAACCCCAGGGAACACTGAGTGAACACCACACTAACCCCAGGGAACACTAAGTGAACACCACACTAACCCCAGGGAACACGACACTAACCCCAGGGAACACTAAGAGAACACCACACTAACCCCAGGGAACACCACACTAACCCCAGGGAACACCACACTAACCCCAGGGAACACCACACTAACCCCAGGGAGCACTAAGTGAACACCACACTAACCCCAGGGAACACTGAGTGAACACCACACTAACCCCAGGGAACACTAAGTGAACACCACACTAACCCCAGGGAACACCACACTAACCCCAGGGAACACCACACTAACCCCAGGGAACACCACACTAACCCCAGGGAACACTAAGTGAACACCACACTAACCCCAGGGAACACTAAGTGAACACCACACTAACCCCAGGGAACACCACACTAACCCCAGGGAACACCACACTAACCCCAGGGAACACCACACTAACCCCAGGGAACACCACACTAACCCCAGGGAACACTAAGTGAACACCACACTAACCCCAGGGAACACCACACTAACCCCAGGGAACACCACACTAACCCCAGGGAACACCACACTAACCCCAGGGAACACCACACTAACCCCAGGGAACACTAAGTGAACACCACACTAACCCCAGGGAACACCACACTAACCCCAGGGAACACCACACTAACCCCAGGGAACACCACACTAACCCCAGGGAACACCACACTAACCCCAGGGAACACTAAGTGAACACCACACTAACCCCAGGGAACACCACACTAACCCCAGGGAACACCACACTAACCCCAGGGAACACCACACTAACCCCAGGGAACACTAAGAGAACACCACACTAACCCCAGGGAACACCACACTAACCCCAGGGAACACCACACTAACCCCAGGGAACACCACACTAACCCCAGGGAGCACTAAGTGAACACCACACTAACCCCAGGGAACACTGAGTGAACACCACACTAACCCCAGGGAACACTAAGTGAACACCACACTAACCCCAGGGAACACCACACTAACCCCAGGGAACACCACACTAACCCCAGGGAACACCACACTAACCCCAGGGAACACTAAGTGAACACCACACTAACCCCAGGGAACACTAAGTGAACACCACACTAACCCCAGGGAACACCACACTAACCCCAGGGAACACTAAGTGAACACCACACTAACCCCAGGGAACACCACACTAACCCCAGGGAACACTAAGTGAACACCACACTAACCCCAGGGAACACCACACTAACCCCAGGGAACACCACACTAACCCCAGGGAACACCACACTAACCCCAGGGAACACCACACTAACCCCAGGGAACACTAAGTGAACACCACACTAACCCCAGGGAACACCACACTAACCCCAGGGAACACCACACTAACCCCAGGGAACACCACACTAACCCCAGGGAACACTAAGTGAACACCACACTAACCCCAGGGAACACCACACTAACCCCAGGGAACACCACACTAACCCCAGGGAACACCACACTAACCCCAGGGAACACTAAGTGAACACCACACTAACCCCAGGGAACACTGAGTGAACACCACACTAACCCCAGGGAACACTAAGTGAACACCACACTAACCCCAGGGAACACTAAGTGAACACCACACTAACCCCAGGGAACACGACACTAACCCCAGGGAACACTGAGTGAACACCACACTAACCCCAGGGAACACTAAGTGAACACCACACTAACCCCAGGGAACACCACACTAACCCCAGGGAACACTAAGTGAACACCACACTAACCCCAGGGAACACCACACTAACCCCAGGGAACACCACACTAACCCCAGGGAACACCACACTAACCCCAGGGAACACCACACTAACCCCAGGGAACACCACACTAACCCCAGGGAACACTGAGTGAACACCACACTAACCCCAGGGAACACTAAGTGAACACCACACTAACCCCAGGGAACACTAAGTGAACACCACACTAACCCCAGGGAACACGACACTAACCCCAGGGAACACTGAGTGAACACCACACTAACCCCAGGGAACACTAAGTGAACACCACACTAACCCCAGGGAACACGACACTAACCCCAGGGAACACGACACTAACCCCAGGGAACACTAAGAGAACACCACACTAACCCCAGGGAACACCACACTAACCCCAGGGAACACTAAGAGAACACCACACTAACCCCAGGGAACACCACACTAACCCCAGGGAACACGACACTAACCCCAGGGAACACGACACTAACCCCAGGGAACACCACACTAACCCCAGGGAACACTAAGTGAACACCACACTAACCCCAGGGAACACCACACTAACCCCAGGGAACACTAAGTGAACACCACACTAACCCCAGGGAACACCACACTAACCCCAGGGAACACCACACTAACCCCAGGGAACACCACACTAACCCCAGGGAACACCACACTAACCCCAGTGAACACCACACTAACCCCAGGTAACACTGAGTGAACACCACACTAACCCCAGGGAACACTAAGTGAACACCACACTAACCCCAGGGAACACTAAGTGAACACCACACTAACCCCAGGGAACACGACACTAACCCCAGGGAACACTGAGTGAACACCACACTAACCCCAGGGAACACTAAGTGAACACCACACTAACCCCAGGGAACACGACACTAACCCCAGGGAACACGACACTAACCCCAGGGAACACTAAGAGAACACGACACTAACCCCAGGGAACACCACACTAACCCCAGGGAACACTAAGAGAACACCACACTAACCCCAGGGAACACCACACTAACCCCAGGGAACACGACACTAACCCCAGGGAACACGACACTAACCCCAGGGAACACGACACTAACCCCAGGGAACACTAAGAGAACACCACACTAACCCCAGGGAACACAACACTAACCCCAGGGAACACGACACTAACCCCAGGGAACACTAAGAGAACACCACACTAACCCCAGGGAACACCACACTAACCCCAGGGAACACTAAGTGAACACCACACTAACCCCAGGAAACACTGAGTGAACACCACACTAACCCCAGGGAACACTAAGTGAACACCACACTAACCCCAGGGAACACTAAGTGAACACCACACTAACCCCAGGGAACACTGAGTGAACACCACACTAACCCCAGGGAACACTAAGTGAACACCACACTAACCCCAGGGAACACGACACTAACCCCAGGGAACACTAAGAGAACACCACACTAACCCCAGGGAACACCACACTAACCCCAGGGAACACTAAGTGAACACCACACTAACCCCAGGGAACACTGAGTGAACACAACACTAACCCCAGGGAACACTAAGAGAACACCACACTAACCCCAGGGAACACCACACTAACCCCAGGGAACACTAAGTGAACACCACACTAACCCCAGGGAACACTAAGTGAACACCACACTAACCCCAGGGAACACTGAGTGAACACCACACTAACCCCAGGGAACACTAAGTGAACACCACACTAACCCCAGGGAACACTGAGTGAACACCACACTAACCCCAGGGAACACTAAGTGAACACCACACTAACCCCAGGAAACACTGAGTGAACACCACACTAACCCCAGGGAACACTAAGTGAACACCACACTAACCCCAGGGAACACCACACTAACCCCAGGGAACACTAAGTGAACACCACACTAACCCCAGGAAACACTGAGTGAACACCACACTAACCCCAGGGAACACTAAGTGAACACCACACTAACCCCAGGGAACACGACACTAACCCCAGGGAACACGACACTAACCCCAGGGAACACTAAGAGAACACCACACTAACCCCAGGGAACACCACACTAACCCCAGGGAACACTAAGTGAACACCACACTAACCCCAGGAAACACTGAGTGAACACCACACTAACCCCAGGGAACACTAAGTGAACACCACACTAACCCCAGGGAACACTAAGTGAACACCACACTAACCCCAGGGAACACTGAGTGAACACCACACTAACCCCAGGGAACACTAAGTGAACACCACACTAACCCCAGGGAACACTAAGTGAACACC